TGAATGCGAGAGCATATTGCTGAAAAAGAGATAAATCTAAACAATTTTAATGGGTTTCTTTTGGTCTCTGAGAACCATCTAAGTGTGTTTGTCATGTAGATTATTCAGCAATATTCTCTGAGCCGTGAGCGAATAACGGTTAAAGACGAAAGACAATGTCTTCACACTTACCATTTATGCACGTCGTTGTTGCCAATCGTCTTATTACATGGGCAAGACCAGAGAACGAGTTGGAACGAAAAACATTTTCATTTTTCTCAACGATCAACCTCAGTTCATAATCCTTGGTGTAGGGTCCTATGGCAAGAGCGTACACCTTAACTCCCTTTGCTTTTAGGGGCAGTACTGCCTTGTCCAGTGGAACAGCGTCCGTCGTACGAGTTTGATATCCATCTGTCATCACTATCAAAATTTTAGGAACATTTCTCCGCGCTCCTCCTTCTGTTAAAAAAACATCCTGGGCGGCTGTTTTCAGGGCTAGGTCAATTCTTGTTACCCCCCTGTAGTAGGGAAGGCGCCGAACAGCAAGGTAAAATCTCGCGTAGTTGTTGTATTTAGTGAATGGTATTTCTAAGCGCGCCTTTGTGCTGTAAACTATGACCGCAGCATGCGTTCCTGTCCGGGAGATACCAAATCTGCGCACAACTCTGTTTACAAAGTCTTTCTCTTTAAAGAATCCCCAGTGACCAACGCTACCTGAGGCATCTATTGCAAAAGCAATGTCTACTGGACGTTTACACAAAGTCCCTAAAAAAGGTGTAAAGATAAGTAAATTGTAATAAATTGCTAATAAAGTGGATGACCTACTTGAAAATAAGTGCTTAGTGGGCATGATGGAGGCTAATACAACATCTTCGGATGCTTTGAGAGAAATAATCATGACAGCCGTGAGAACTAGTTGCTGCCTTAGAGTATTATGGTTAATGTCAATCAGACATTGCTATAATTGCGTTGCTTTATGTCGCTGAGTCTACACGTTAAGGAGTGCTACCAATGATAGTAATTGAAGTGGCCAATAACTCCAAAAGACTCCGAATCAACACATTGGAAAACGCTTCGGGAAAAAAAAAGTTTCAAAGCGCGCGTTTAGTTTAAGGAATTCAAGAACTCACCTTCGCTCTCTTTGAAATAAAGAAATGTGATGGCTATCTCAAAACTCAGCAGAAAGATAATTGACCTCATCGTCACCTAAGAAGAACATAATTTAATGCCAAGGAAAGTACGTTAATATAAATAAAGAAAGATGGTAAATTTTAACAGAAATGAGTAATGATATGATCAACATGTCACGAGCACGGGACATACTATTTAATATAACCTCTTCAGGTAATTTTTCTAGCTCACCACAAGTCTCTGTGATACATTGCGCCAAGAGCACCTGAGTGTTTCCCGAAGGCATGGGTTCGAATCTGAGATTCATACTCTCTGTTTGATCGCGACAAAACGAATAACGCCACCGCATTCTTCTCAGTTAATGAAATGTTTTCATTCAGGGAGCTTCAGCAACCACGACGACGACGGCAGTGAAAACGTCAAGAACAACAAGAAGAAAATTTGCGTTCTTTGAAACTTTATCACCTTTTATTTAACTTCTGTCCGGGCGCTTAAATTGCAAAAAGCATAATAGGCGTATTTTTCTGGAGTTGAATTCTTAAGAACTGCAACCGAATTCAAAAATAGAAGAGATACTGAAGAAACAATTACTCATCGTATGTGTTCACATACTTCTCGAAATATCCTATAAATCGTCGAAGAAATGTACGATATAAAAAGTGAGACGCATGTGGAGAGCTTTTTTTTTTT